TTGCGCCTTATCTAAAAAAGTCTCCCAAATGGATGAAAATGTCACTCCTAGACACTCATGTGATCGACCACCCGTGTAGGTAGTTGTTGTGCATGTAACTTTCATCTAGTAATGTCATACAGGTACACGTCATGAGTATATTACACCAATGATGTCATATAGGTGCACATAGTGAGCACATTAACATTACGTCATGAGTACATTACACCTATGATGCCATATAGATACACATAATGAACACGATGTAGTCACGTGTTATGTAGATCGCGACGTTTGGACTGCATACTGCTAGTTTACAGGCGATGAGGTCGACCGGTCATGCGTGATATTTACAGGTACAAGATTTTAGGTACACATCATGAGTATATTACACCAATGATGTCATATAGGTACACATAATGAGCACATTAACATTACGTCATGAGTACATTACACCTATGATGTCATATGAATACACATAATGAACACGATAGGGGGGGTATCCCCTGTTTTTCAGATTTGACTGGATTAGACCAGTATAAATCCAGAGCACACGTCAGCAAACTTTCACAAATAATGTTTGTTCTGTATAAGCTTTTGGAATGTTCTAGAATGCTTTTTGAATGTATATAATTTTATCAGGAGAATGCTCAGTCATGCTGACATGCATGCCATGGAACTTTCTAGACCGTTGTGATGCTACCAAAATAGTTGTGCTGTGGAAGCTTTTAAATGTTCCAGAATCCTTTGTGAATATATAAATATATATAACTTTTTCCTCAATTTTTCTAAAGAAAGTTCTTATCGTATTTTTCAGAACAACTCATGGACTCCATCGATCCGAAAAACCTAGCACCCAGGCAACTCGGTAAGCATTTTATGGAAAATGTTTTTTTTTGTTAAATTCTTAGTAATCATCTTTTAATTCTACTTTTCAGGATATCATTACTACATTGATTTGAACAAATCAGCCTTCGACAAAGGAGAAGAACATCCACGAGAAAGAGTAAGAAGGGGTATGGCACAAGAATGTGCTTACAGGCAAGTTATATTTATTGGCCGAAAGATTTTAAAATCTGATTGCACAAATTTACAATAACAAACACAGAAAGTTATCAATTGGGCACTTTTCAGCAGGGAGAGTACACGTCCCGAATGTAAACTAAGGATTTTGTTGTCACTATAAAAAAAAAATGCTTGTTTTGTTAACAGTGTTGTCATTTTTTTTATTGCGCATGCACCACCTTTCCTCCATCTGCGTGACTGCGTGATATTATGACGTCATTGTGTGATATTATCTGCGTGACTGCGTGATACTATTTTCGTCCTCTTACGTGACATCTTGAGGGTGCGTCAATATTCTGGATCCTGATTGATTAAAAAGTGTCACATACTACGAGAAAGAGTAAGAAGGGGTAGCAACACATTGAGCAGCTCCCAGTTGGCTTGTTAGCTCAGTTGGTAGAGCGCTGCACCGTTATAGCAGAGGTCATGGGTTCAAATCCCGTACGGGCCTGAATTTTTTTCAGGTCCTATTTTCAACTACTCGTTTCAGTAGTGTTCTTAGCTGCGAGGATCTCTTAATTTCATCTCTTCACCGCAGTGCAAATATATGAATTTCATATATCTAAAATCATCATTTATTACTTGGATGGTTTATTTGGACCCAACACATTAACTAGCTCCCAGTTGGCTTGTTAGCTCAGATGGTAGAGCGCTGCACCGGTACCGCAAAAGTCATGGGTTCAAATCCCGTATGGGCAGGGCGTGAAATTAACTTTTTTTTCTGATAGCCACTTGGCTCCTAAATTCTTCAAAGTGGTAGCCAATTCAAGAAAAGTTGGTCGCCATTTTCAAAGACAAACAAAATCTTTCTTTACGCTGTCAGCGTTCTAGATAGACCCTCCAAAATTAAGTTAGGGAAAAGATCTTTAACGTGCTACAAAGTGGACACTAGGATAGATGATATACAACGTTCAGGCTCATCTAAATCCAAGATGGCGTCTAATTATCGATCGAGATGCATGTGCTACGTTTTGGAAACAACTTAACGAGGATGTTTGCCGCGGATTTATCTTTGCAAATCTTTTTAATTCACTATATCTCTTGGTAAGGTTATGATGAAACGTTCTAGTCGCCAATTTGGCGACTAACTTTCAGGATTTGGTCGCCAAAGTGAAAAATTTAGGCGCATTGGCGCCTGTATTAGGCGCAATTTCACGCCCTGATGGGCCTAAATTTTTTTCAGGTCCTATTTTCAACTACTCGTTTTAGTAGTGTTCTTAGCTGCGAGGATCTCTTAATTTCATCTCTCACCGCAGTGCAAATATATGAATTTCATATATCTAATCTACGTGTCACATAGTACATAATACAGCTCTGTGATTGGTTTAGGACCAGAGTAACCACTATTACTACGCTGAGTACCTAGATCCCTTAACGAGCACGCAGATGCCATTAGCAAGTTCATAGATTGCAATGAATGGGGAGTTTCCTTTCATTTTTTCACTCACGTGGGTGGTATCTGGAGCCCCCATTCTGTTGATCGGTTTGCTAATTCCCACAACTTTAAGCTTACAAAGTTCTATTTGCACTATTGGAACCCTAGTTGCGAAGGAGTCAATGCCTTTTACTACACTGGGTTGGGGAGAATAGTTGGCTAGTGCCCGCAGTGTCCTTGATTCCTCGGGTTATTAGGCATCTTGCGCATTGAAAAGCTGCAGGTACTTTTGTCGTACCCGAATGGGTTTCGTCCCCGTTCTGGCCTATGTTCCTTGGGTTTCAGTCTTCTTACCATTCCCTTGTCGAGGGTATTATTACTTTCACTGACATTGCAGGAATTTCCACCGGGAAAACATCAGTGTGTTTGTAGTTTCGGTGACTACTCCTTACCTCGTTAGCCATGTATGCTTCTAGTCTCAGTGACTAGTGATTGCCTCGGTGGCTGAGTATGCTTCTAGTCTCAGTGACCAGTGTGTGCATTGACGGCGGCGTAAGTCTGTAGTCCTGTCATTTTTGTGTGCCTCGGTGGCTGTGTCCCTTTCGTTTAGTGGAGTTATTTATGCTAAAGCGGCTGTTAATGTTTGTAATCCCCGTACCCGTTTTGTTGTTTGGATGTCCATGTGGGACTTTACTTTCGTTGGCCACTGCGTGCCTCGTTGTCCGCACGTGTTGCGTAGTTCGTACTTTTCTTACCGGCTTTGACTTGGTCTTGATCCGCAGGATCGTTTTCAGTATATCCCATTTCTGTGGGCTCCCACCCAATTTTCTGGTGACAGTTCCCTTTCTCTCCGTTTTGTGTCTTCCTAGACGTTTTTTTCCGGTCCCATGTGGTCCGAGCTTACCCACGTTCAAGATCGTCCTTTTCGTCCTTTGGCGAACTAGTAACCCGATGTGGTCCTTGGCTCCAGAGCAGATAATTCAACAGCCTCGTATCTTAGCAGTTTTAGTCAATGGCGTTCTTGGGCCTCTAGATTCCCTGAGATCAGCTTCTTGCCAGCAACCCCGGTTTACGTGGCCTTGTATTTACTCAGCATCTTTTAAGCTTCTACTTCTCCGGCACATGACCTTGCTGGTTTCCAGTCATCAACGAACCACACTCTTCTACAAAAAGTTATGGAATCTGCCCTACGGATATTGTCGCATCGGAAGTCCAAGAAGTTGCCGATGACTACAGAAATTCTCTTCAATTTCCTCCAGAGCCTGGATGGCTCTTTGGTCGATACGAAATGTATGGCCATGGCACTCCTCGCTTACGCAAGGTTCTTGAGGTTTGATGAGCTTTCAAACCTAAGGCTCATGGATGTAACTGCACACCCTACATATTTATTTTTAGCTATTTATTGAAAGCAGCAAGACCGACCAGTATCGTAAGGGTGCCGTTGTACCAATCGTCCAAACCAGTACCGGCCTTTGTCCTCGGGCTAACCTCGTCAATTACTTGTCCCAAGTCAAGCTCGTTCTCCTTGCATCTCTAAATGATGGCGATGACTTCCTGGTTGAGAATATGATAACTAAATCCGGACCCAGTTTGTCCAAGTCGGCTCCAAGATTTCATACACCAGATGTCGTGAAGTTTTGTCAAAAAAAGTTAGTTGACGTAGTCCTAGATCCTAAATCCTTTTCCTGGAACAGCTTTAGAAGTGGTGGCGCGTCTACTGCTGCTTAGGGCGGTATTTCTGATAAAATCTTTAAGAGAAAAGGTAGATGGCGTTCGGAAAACGCTGAAGATGGTTATGTTGCGGACTCGCTAGAAAGCCGTTTAGCGGTTTCTATTTCCTTGGGCCTCTAATTCTCGTTCTTTGTATTCTCAGCATCTCCTAGTTCGAGCTTCACACAAACTTCTTTGTGTACGAGTCGTGAATTAAGGTAGCAAATGTATTTACATTCGGTGGAACTAAACTGTAAGTGCCAGTGACAAAGAATGTAAATATTATCCCGTCGGTATGTAAGCATGTGAGCCGCTATGGCGTTAATTGCGTCTTTTGTTGTAGAGCGTAGGTAAGGTTTGACATTTGTAATGTGTTCATCTCAGCTCTCTAACTTTTCTAACTAACCCGCTGAGCTTGGAGCGCCTGCATTTAGATGGAGAATACGTTCCCATTTTCCCCACTGGGTTTTTGGGTTTTCGTATCACGGGGCGGCCAACAAAATTTTTTTTAGCCCGAGAGGTGATTCAGTTGTAACTAGTTGTTTACTATTCTCTGTACCTTTGTCGGACGGCATTAAACGCTCGAGCTCCTAGTTCGGGCTGCACACCCACTCCTATGTACGAGTCGTGAATTAAGATAGGAAGATCAGTGTTACTCAGTGCATGACAAAGGCATATTCCGAGAAAAAAAGACTGCGAGTGCTCTCAATAGGATTCGAACTTAAAGACATTTCGATTAGTGCTTTGGACGCTCTACCTCTAAAAGATCCTTATGTGTAGAGATAATGTACATGAAGATGGTAAATTTACTATGCTTTCCGGGGTCAATTTTACATTCATACAGTACTTACAAACAGGATTAGAAACGGCGCTGGGGCGAACACATTTTTATTTAAAATCAAGTGACAAGATCACATGTATCAACCGAGTGCCTGTTTCAGGCGAGAGCAAAATATAAACAAAAACATCTTAGTTTATATATGAGTTCTTCTCCCGAGGGGCCACGAGTCAGAATGGCACTTTAATAATAATTTAATAATATTGGTTGTAACGTGATATCCACTACACTCACGCCCATTTGGCATGTAACAGAGTGGAATGGGACATGTTTACACTGTGAGAGTGAACTCAAGATAATGCTTCGTGCCCAACCTGGTGCAAAGTTTTGAAAATGTTTGCGCGATTTTTCCAGACCAAGCAAATTAAATTTTCAAAGAAGTCAACCGAGAGCTGGTCACTAGCAGCAATTTTACAGAGTTACTATCAATAGGGAAATACCTTTCAATTTGTAATGGTGTAAATGCCTTCTATTATAGATCACGGATGAGTCCTCACACCTGCCTGTGACAGGAGTTTTACCGGTTTGTTCCTACTTTCTACCTCTAACTAGACAGATACGATCACATTAAGTCTTTCTGTTAAACGAAATTCGACGCTCAGTTGCGTCTTAAAAAGAACTCATTACTGTAAGAGGTTTGGTAGATCATACACTATTTTTTCAATAATCAATGCCCAAAGGACCGTTCCAATCACCAATAACTCTTTCAGTTCTTTTAGGGTAAGGTTATATCATTCTTAGAATTTCAAAACGTGATAAGAAACTTTTTTTATGCTCACTTACCAATGGCATAGATAGAGAAATACATGGTTTCCGCAGCATACCTCAGCTTTAACTATTTGATTACGGCCTCTGCCGTGGTGGCTAACTCTAGCTTTTCCTTTAATTGGTCCGGAAATACATTACATCCTACATTAACAAAGGATCAAGTCTACTAAGTAAGGTAACCACTTCGTAATGACCAGTCAGTGTATTAGTGATGATTGGTGACCTTTAGGCTGAACACTTCATCATATACACGTACTCCTTCAACATTAACAAATAGGTAACCCGACCTATCGCAACCTTAGTTAATAATTTATCATTACTCGATAATTTGTTCATCCAATGTGACAAATTTTTGAACATTAGTCATGCGATTGATGCAAATGACGTGTGGTTAGCATATGACTAGCGGTTATGTGCTTAGCAGATGATATAGGTTAGCCTCCGACTTGTGGCATCTAACAGCCTTTAGAGTTAATCGTGGAAATTCGTAATCTGCTACTAGTACCACAGTTTTTCCATTTTACACGTTATGTTACTGAAGTCCTTTACAAATAATGGCACACAGAATAATGCCAACATAAATAAACAACACGAAGTTACCTATTGAATTATGGATAACGAGTTCTATGCAATTAAAACCCATACGTTAGATTCATCAACATTCCAACAGCTTAATTTTTCCCAACTCTAAACTCATTGCCGCATCATGTCGATAAAGCTTATGTTATCAGGAAGATAATTAGACTGCGACTGCGCCAACTGCTGCTGTTGGTGAACTTGCAACTGAGCCTGTGACACCTGACCTTGAGACATGGGGGTCTGAACCATTTGCGCCTGAGTCATCTGCACCTAATAAAGACATAAAGGATTTATTTATTGTCGTTCACACCGAAGTGATTGTCTCTGTATGAATTCCATTCATCCAATTTAAAAATTTGACATACACGTAGAATGACTGGGATAAATAAGGAGAGTAATAACGAAACTGGGGGGGGTGTATAAAAGACAATTTATACGGATTATAAAAAGACAATTCACCGGAAGGGATTTTCTAAGCTGATGTTGTGAGCATTGGCCTTCGCTCTAACGATGGGCTAACGCTTCAAACCGCAGCTTAGAAAGTCCTAACGGTGGCCAATTTACATCGTGAACTCAGTTGATGAAACCAAATTATCTTCAGCCAAAATAGTTTACAACCTTTTAGCCTTTTCGTTTGAATAAAGCAGCCGATTTGGCGCTTGTAGTTGTCTGATAATATCGTTTATCGGTCGAGTATGTATCGATTCGATCGATTGAAATGAAGAACGTATAATTGGACACGGGAATCTAGAGAACAAGTGATTTCCAACGCAAATTGGTCAACTTTCCACTGACGGCTTACCGACAGACTATCGACAAGTTACAAATTGAAAAGGCCACCAAGAGTTTTCAATCTTATTCTAAGACCAAATATTTCTAGAGAAGTTTTAAGCAAAATGTGCGAAACAGCTTTTAAGGTAAGTGTTTTGGCATCACCGACACATCACCAGCTGTTGAATATCCGAATGTACTAAAACAGGGGATAGCGCTAATGGGGCACTCTCACTAGCAAATCAAACTCAGAATATCCTTTGCGAGTCACCTCCCAGCAACTCGCACTGTCTCATCATCAACAACACCATGAACATGACGATCAGAAAAGAAATATGTTCGAGTGACGACTCTCAAAGCGTTGTTCGTTTCTAACGACAAAATGATGCGTTGTTTGTTTGGTATGTACTCGTTTTGTACTCACAGACGTTTCGTAAACTTGAGAAACGTCATCACTCAAGCGGTGTTGGTTTCTATCAAAATCATGAGGACTGACTGCACAGAAATCAATCATGTGGTCAGAATTTAAATATGTTTGAGTAACGACTCTAATAGTGTTGTTCCTCAGCAACAACAGATGGAAGCGTTGTTCGTTTCTATAACAACAAAATGTGGCGTTTTTTACCCACAGACGTTTGGTCGACAAACGACCAACAGTTGGGGAACTCGGCTGTTTCATAGTTTCACCAAAAGTTTTCCTTATACACACATTAATTGTATCGAGTATTTGATTACACACCTGACCAAGTGGCATCTGTACAGCTGGTTGTGATCGTTGCTGCTGAAGCTGTAGTAGCTGCCATTGCTGCTGGGTTATTCCAGGCTGCGAACTCGCCAGCCCTTGTTGCTGGGCTGAAGCTTGGTTTGCCTGTGACTGTAAGAGGTGCCGAAGCTGTGACGGTATTCCTTGACTTGTTTGCATCTGTTGCACCTGGTTATCCTGTGTTGGAAAGGTCTGCTGCTGTTGTTGCTGTTGTTGTTGTTGCTGTTGTTGTTGTTGTTGTTGTTGTTGTTGCTGCTGCAACTATTCAAAAAAAGTCACGTGCCATCAGCCTAAACTAGTATACTACTCCACGGTAGAAACAAGCCCCGACAAAACTGTCCTGTCATCAACAATCCACACGATAATTATCCAAAAAATCTTCCTAATTTTGATCCAAACCAGCTTTTGTACTCCTGCCCCTTCTTAACCTTTGGACCCCTAAAAGGCTAGTATATAAATTATCCTTATAATATTGGAATAAAGGAAATGATCACCAACGAAAGAAATTCTTGATTGTTAAACAAAGTGTCCTTGTCAGCACCTTGGGAAATGTATAAATTTCCCAGTATGGAGAATACGCATGCAAAGAAGAGAGGAGGTCCGCAATGCGTACACCCGTAGGCGAAGAATTGTACAATTTTCATGCATAACGTAAATCACTTAATTTTGCAAACGCAAAGGACTATATACATCCCCTATCGTATCCTCTTAGGGTACCGCCTTACAATAATAGAACACGATTTCTGTGAGTATATTCAGTGACTAAAAAACCAAGCAACCAAATGCCCACAGAAACTTCGATCACATTCACTAATCCACTCGTTCGTTTATTTTGTTTCTGGCTTTTGATGGTAGGAATCATTGAAACCGTGCTTGACCAGTTGAAGAGCATACAAGCAAAGCTTACCTGTTGAAGTTGCTGCCTTCGCAGTAACAGTTGTTGTTGTTGTTGAGGCGTAAGTTGCTGCGTCTGTTGTTGCAGTTGCTGCTGCTGTTGTTGCTGCGACTGTTGTAGTTGCTGTTGCTGTTGTTGTAACAGTTTGAGAGTCTGCAGTAGCTGAAGTAAAACACATAAGTAACCAATCAAAATGCACTCATTACATTTCCACCTAAAAACAAGGTTGATTACCTTGCTAAAGTGGAAACGTCTGTATGAAATGAGGCAAAGTAAACAGATTGAAGTTTCCAAAGTGCGTCATGCAAGTTAAGTAGAGGAAGAGACAGGCAAGGGGGAGGGGAGAAAAGGAGGCGTGGAGAACTGGGGTGAATAGATCTTCACTGCACAACAAAAACCGCATGCTTACTTTCATTTGATGAAATATAAAAACATAATTATACGGAAAAGAAGCGGTGTTTTAAAACATTTAACGATAAAAAATTGCGATAAAACATTTCGTAAAGGCATATTAAAAATATGTTGAGGTCGTTTCGACGTTTGACTGACGTCATTATCAAGTCAAAGAGTGAAAGATAAAAAAATGTGTAAGTACTAAAAAGACAATAGGTAATGGAATATTCTTTAAAACAAAGAGTTTTTCGCGAATGGAATCAGTCTGCGTGTTGAGACAAGGATTGCGCTGCTCGATGAAAAGGATCTCATAGACAAGACAGTCAAATTTTCCTTGGCACTTTTTTAGAATGCGTAAATGGCTTTCTTTGAGGAGGTTTGTATCCCCGTGGGCAGTCGAAAAGTGTTTACCGATCGCAGAGTTTTTATGTTCAACAATACGTTGATGAAGGTGTCGAGCTGCAAAGCCGACGTAATCTGAATCACACAGATCACATGCAAAAGAGTAAACAACGCATTGTTGATTTACGACTGTAGGGTTGATTTCTCTGGGCTTGAGGTCTTCTTACAATTTTGCGCTGATAAACACAGATTGTAGTGTAGTGACAATCTTGACTGAGATCACGCATTTGCCTTTTAGCTGCGATAGCTGATGTTTCATCTTTGAAGGGCAAACTCACTCTCACAACGCTGCTGTCTTCCTTGTTTTTCTCTCTCATGCCAAATGAAAAGCTCTGAATGGTTTTGGTAATGGAAGAATTAATCATTGCCAAGGGATAATCAGGTCGGGTAAAGATGGAACGTAGTCTAGTGCATTCTTGATCGAAGGCTTCAGTCATTGAGGATAGATAGAGCATAAGCTCGGTGGGTCATTGTTTTTCAGATTACGTCGGCTTGACAGCTCGACACCCTCATCAACGTATTGCTGAACATAAAAACTCTACGATCGGTAAACACTTTCCGACAGCCCATGGAGATACAAACCTCCTCAAAGAAAGCCAATGCCGCATTCTTAAAAAGTTAAAAACACAATTATCACCTTAAAGGTTCCTAGATGTGTAAAGTTAAATACAACAGATCAATTCAATATATCTTCAGAAATTAACTAAATTGAGTAAGATCTATTGTAACCGTCAATGCTTCTAATGCAGTACAGTTTGTACTTACAGCAGGATTGTCTTGTTGATCCATCGGTACAGGCATGTTGTGGGTCCCTGTGCCCACACCACTAAATGACAGCCCTATATTGGGCGCCACAGAAGTCTGAGTACTAGTCGCCAATCCTTCTGGGTTTTGACCTAAACCCGCAGTTGTACTTGTTATCAATGTGTTCCCAACAGGATTCAGCAAAGGTTGCTGGGAAACTTGAGACTGTTGTTGTGGAAACTGAATAAGGGCAAATTCAAGCATTAAAGAATGACTGAAAGCAAAGTGACTTTTACAACGAAGACAGCCCTGCTATTCAAACTTGCGTCCACCTACACAAAATATCTGCTTGATAAACGCCTGGTAGATTGCAAACAGTCATATGCTAAACCAAGCATAAACAGTGTGCAATTGACTCTCAAATATGGGCTTTTCGTGTACAGATAGAGCGACAGGAAATGAATATTCAAACGGGGAAAATTGCTCTTAGACTGTAAAAGGAGAAAGACAAAACTCACATTTCATACTAAGCTATCTGCGCAACAAAGGTTTCATATGTCAAAAGATAATGGTTCGTTTTGGTCAGTGGAGGTGTCCACCCAACACAAGCACAGAAAATTTAACAGAAAACTGAAAGGAAAACTCTGGAACCTAGGTTTGTGTCTGTTTAGTACCGAGTGTCCGTATCTGAAGTCTTATTTTTCTGCAGAGATTAAAAATTTCGCAGAGTGCGTAAAAGGCCACATCAGAATTGTTTTCAGGAAACACAAAGAAAAAAATTAGGAAATAAAAAGAAATACAGTGGAAACCCAAGAATAAGTAGGGGTCACCGAGTTCGTTTTTTAATTACAGGCACGTAAAACCGAAATTACAGTATGGGTTTTTCCAAGAGCATTTAATGAGGCCAAGTTAGCCTATTGAAAAAATAAAACAGTAACAACTTATTCTAAACTAATGGGGAATTTTCTTGAAGTCTAAATCAAGGAAAGAAACAAAGAACTGTAGTAGCATTAATCCATGAAAGATTGGGTAAAAATAATAGGACGTTCGAGACTTTTGATAAAGTCAGTTGAAGTTTCTCCCTCAGTGGTCTGGCAACCTTTCTGATGGTTTGTAGATGTTTCTCACTTAAGTCCAAAGTAGCCAATTTAATCGGCCCACATCTTCTGTCCAATTACATTCTCCAAAACTTTCATGTTCTTTTATGATACAAATTTTGCAATGAATGGTGTAATAATGTATAATGAACAAATAATGGAGAAAAAACCCAACAAAATCTGGCGAAATAACCAGCACAGAAACAGTTCAAACAAAATCAAAGACAGATGGAATCTCTTTGTTATTTCCCCAACATTCTGAATCCTGCGACAATTTCCTTTGCCCTCCACTTAGTGTTAGAGAAGTATCTCTGCATCAACAAGAGACAAAGTACATGCTCATCATACCTGCCCCTGAGGTATCCCAGGAGCAGCAAAACCTGCCTGCTGTGGAGTCTGCTGTTGTGGTTGAGGTTGCTGTTGCTGTTGTTGTTGTTGTTGTTGTTGTTGTTGCTGTTGTTGCTGCCTCAACTGTTGCTGTTGTTGAAGCAAAAATCGCTGCCGCTGTATTGTAATCTAGAGTCCAAAGCACACTAGTCAGAACAGTTTGTGGACACTTACTCAGTAGAATTAAAAAAAAAACAAAAACAAAAAACATGGGGCCATTGTCATAGGATTCTGAAATTCCCTGACCCGTCCCTGACTTTTCCCTGAAAAACAAAATTTCCCTGGCCAATAATTACTGACAAATTTCACAACAATTAATTTTCCAATCCTAGTTTCTTTGTTAACAATAATTATTAATGGCTCTTGCCTGCTACATGTGTACATGCTACTCAGAAACTGTTAAGTTATTAAACAATCCACATGGACAAAGGAATGTTTTATTCTGAATATGTGTCTCTTATTAGGTAACTTCACATGTTAATAGCAAAGCTCGCAGCATGCGAAGCAGAGCATCATACCCATCATATTATACACATACCCTTTGGACTTGATCTGTTTTGTACTTTTGAACCACAGTCTGAAACAGAAATCACACATCAGACAATACTCAAGCAAATCAGTAAGACCTCAAAGAATTCAAAGGGCTCTCAACATTAAGAGTTTAAAGTTTCATACTTACTCGTATTCCATCAACAAAGTTTGCCTTTGGAAAATAAAAGAATTTAATAATGTCAAGTGCGTGGCTGCATAATAACCATTAATTTGTTCATAATGATATTAGATACACATGTACATTATTGTAAGACTCAAAAACCCATGAACACCAGAAATTTTGGAAAGTCTAGTGCAAATGAAAAAAGGTCCATGAGGCATGAATAAACATTAAAGCTTGTAGTTTTTTTGGGTTGTTTCTATGTCCTGACCACCAACATGAATGGTCACAATACAAGAATGTTCAAACAATCAGATTTTCTCAGTTTGACTGAAATGGGTCATGTATAACCTTGGAAGAAAACTAAATAAATATTAATGTAGTTTATCAAGTAAAGAAAAGTGTGTTCTGAAATGAAAAGAAAAAAGAAAATTATTCCAGTTGCACATAATTAGCAAACACACAGGTAGTTCAACATATTCCCATCTAATGGTGTTTATCTGATAGATGATTTATCTGATAGATGATATGAATTTTGACAGTTAAGACAGAATCCAAATTTGTGAAATAAGGTATGGAAAGATCTATACACAATACCTATCTAGACATAAAAAACTGTTGCTAATTGCCAGCACAATTACAGTATCATATATGTTTACATACCTGCTCAACAGGAATTAAACCAACAAAGGCACGCTTTTTTGGACTAAAAATTAACAGAAGGACTTTGACATCACATTGTGGAACAGGGGGAAAGTGCACACAGCCAGCCTGGAATAGATAAAACATGATTCTTACTATTAAAATACTCTGAACTCATGATGTTTCAAACCTATCCATCTATCTAGGGTCTTCATCTGGATGTTCAAAAACTTTCTCATCCTCTTGTGCAGTTTGTCATACTCTGTTCTAGTCTCTGTTCTCTTCATTTTTTCAGGCTTTACTGTCACTACCGCTTATGTAGTGTTCATTACAGCGAAGATCACTGTCATATTTATTTCTTAATCTGCAGTTCACATAAATGATTTTCATATTTTGACAGTCATTGATTCATCACTTCAGAGGTTTATTACAAAACAACATAGAGACCAGCTGCCAGTTGGCTTGTAAGCTCAGTTGGTAGAGCACTGCACTGGTAAGGCACAGACACTTACAAACTTGATGCCATGGGAAGCCATGACCCTGTAAAGTGCTTTCAAGGATTCTTGATCATTTGGTGCAAAATGGAAAGCCACTGTCTTGGAATTCTGCAGGAGTGGTCCTAAGGTTGACTGCAAAATGACAAAACAAGAGATTTTGTTACTGCTGCTTTTTGGTCAGACAAGCACAAATGAAAAGTAAACAAAGCCTTCTTTTATCAGTAATTATCTATTTCAGTTTTTCTTCAAAAAATGAATCTCAGAGAAACTCCTCAAACATAACATGTTAATTTCATGTAAGTGACAACACAAGAATAAATCATAACTGAGTCTGGCATGTCCAGTTCAACCTTACCAGTAGGTTTTGAGGAATGAGCTGCATGATCAGCTTTGGTGGCCAGTTGTTAGCTTTGCTGTATGAACAAAAAAACCAAAATAAATAAAGAGACAAATGACGAACAATAGCAGAATAATTATTTTGGAGTTCAATGTTTGTGAATCTCAGCAGAGTACTCACAATAATTAATATCTACCTCCAGCTGGAAACAAGTTAAAAAATCTTTACACTTGTTGAAATATTGTGGCCTAGAGTACTTGGTATGCAAGAAATCCTATTTCTAAGACATGTTTCCTTGCACTCATAAGTCAAGAGCCATCATTAATAAAAGTAGAGAAAAACATGTCATCTCACAAAAAACAAGCTTTGTTGCATAAGATCTCAACATCAAGGACTTTGGCTAATCATAAACTGACAGTTACATCACATTTTTTAAAAAAAACTAGTTTATTTCATGAAAAAAGAGGGAATGGGGAGTAACTGTTGGCAGTTGTTCCTTATCTAATGCTCCTTTGTAGCTGAAATCTGTAGAAAAGATTTAAAATACCCCACATCCTTCACTTGCAGCTAAAATATTGTTGTGGTTGTATGGATTAATACTTACATGGTGTCTCCTGGAACAACAGATGCATGACATGCCAAAGATCTAGTTATTTTCTGCTGAGGGCCAGCTGGGTCACGAATCTAATCAAATAATGGATGCTGCTGTTAACATTTTCATGCAGTTTCTGGATTTCAGTAAGGTACTTATTGCTAAAAATTTGCTGAGTTATTTCATAAAATCAAGAGCCTGATTGCTTGAAATAAAGAGAAAATGAACAACTTAGTTAATGGTTCTGAGCTGTCATTGTCCCAAATGTAAGAAGATGACTCAGGTAAATGCTTTATTCAGAAAAAACTGAATCAGTCAATCAAACTGCCTCTATGTGACACTTACTGTATCCTGCCATTCCAAATTCCCTGTCCAGACTAGAGCTCTCTGAGCAACTTGGTTTTCTTGGGTTGCAGGTACAGGAGTAGGGGTTGGTCTGGGGGATGGGGTGGGATTCGGTGCCCAATTTCCTGGTGGGACTTTCATCCCATCTGCCATTTTATTAGCTGGCTGTCCACTGTTAGGAGTTGGGTTGGGTTCTATAGTGAAAACGACATTTTTTTAAAATAATTATGTATAATAATGATTCCACTATAGTGACATTGCACATGAAGATGACCCTTCTTTAAAAAAACAGGAATCCATTCCACACAAAGAATAAAGTAATGTACAAGGTACATATGATGGTCAATAGCACTAACAAATTTAAATTCAGACATAATTGTATCAGAAGTAAAGAGCACCATGTACAATGTATGTAAAGTTGGGGATACCGCATCCTTGAGCTGTGAATTGTGTAATTGAGGAAATGGGTGAATTATGAACAGCTGTGAGATGTCACTAAATAAAATAATTAAATGTGATGGAAGAGAGTGTCCAGAGGTGTAGACTGCTAGGTTGTTACAAGGATATCCCTTTGAAGTTAGTCTCAGGCCATTGTATTGCATCACAGGGGCTGCTGGGAATTTCCAGCCTTATTAATTACAGACATCAAACACTTTCTCTACCCTAATCAATTGCTGATGAGATTAATAAGAAGGGAGATTCAAGAGAGTTGTTTCACTGAATTTGCCTCTGGCAATTAAGGCATCATGGTGGATGGATTATCCAACACAAGACAATTCTTTCTGTAGTTCAAATACAGAAGAATGTGACAAGTATTTTCCAAAATTGAGAAAAAAATTCATCACTTCAGAGGTATGATGTTTTAATATTTTTTGCCAGCTGATGGAATTTTGTTAAAAAATGTTCAGCACAATAGTATAATGTAAAATTTGGCCACTATTAATCCATCTGAATAAACCTAAATAGCCTAATGGGGGCCACGCATTCAATAATGGGAATCTTTTGAAGGGATTTTTGCACATTACCAATGATGAACTTACGACTTTGTTGTCGTTTGGCTATTTCCAAGATTTTTTTGGCTTGTTGTGCTGCTGATGAGCTTGAAAGGGAAGACGCTGCAGAATCCAACATATTTACTGATGGCATCTGAGGAAAAAAACACAGGCAATAATCTCACTCAGGTGAAGCTACAAAGGTAACTTTGTACAATACTCAAAGTACAAATGCTGTTCCCAGTTCAAATTGTGTTTCAATTTCAGTAATACATGTATTTATTTAAAGTTTTTTTTTCCATTTTGGTTTGATTTGTGGTTTACTGATTTGTTTGTTTGTTTGTTTCAGTTCCTGAGAGACATACTCACTGATAAATTGCTATCTGTTGTTGGCTGCTGAATTTTAACTTCAGAAAGTTGTCGCTGTAAAATTTTTTTGGTTTTTATGGATTTCTCTGGACTTTCTTTCCCTTGAGGAAGTAATAATAAATAATAGTTGTCAATTATCATATCATCATATAATCAATTATCATTATTAACACATTCCAAAGCTTTTGAGATTTAATAATCACAGAACAAAGCTGTTATTGGGGGCACAGACAGGGTCAAAGTCAACTACATTGTAAGCAAGCCACAGCATAAGTAGAATGTGAGCATTGGTCAATGGACAAGTTTAAAATTAAAAGTCTTTCATACATTTGGTGGTTCACTTTTTCCTTGATTTAGAGAAGAAGTACAGTTCAATTATCATACCAATCTGTACCATTTAAAAGAAAAGATATGCTTGAAACTTTACACACTAGACACAACGATGGCATCAACCATTTCATACTAATGGTAAATTAAAGGATAAATCCAACACCAAAGAGACTTCTCCTGAGAATTTTAAATCTGCTTCCTATACAAAATATCGACAATTTAGATGAGCACATGCGTACCATTGTTAATCATCTGTGATGGTGTTGGCACAGGCTTCAGATTGGTTTCAACCATAAATGCACTATTCTTTACTGTTTCAGCTTGTGAATCATTGTTACAGGTGACTGGTTTTGAACAAAATGAAAACAAGCAATCAAACTCAATTATACACAAAATACAATATGTAAAAGAGCTGCCAAAGTTCAAAATGAGTCTGTACAAAAGCATGAAAACTTAAGAAGGAAAGGACCAATTTTGCTAGAACCAGTTCTGTGAGTTCTTGGAGGGGAAACACTCCATCACAGACAAAACAGTCTGACCAGCAGATTGAAGCAAATGAAAAATTGGAAAGTCTACAAAAGCTCCATCAAAAGCAACTTAACAGACACCATAAAAGCAGAGATGTGCCCTACTTCTCAGTGGAAAATCATAGTAATAATGAAATAATTAAATCAAACAAACCTGGCAAATCAAGGCCCTGAATGCATACTAGATGGTTAGGGTCTTTGGAGTAATCTTTTGAAAGCACACTCTTACTATCAACTGTCAGAGACTGCAATCAGAAAAAAATATCATTATTGAAAACAGGATATCTATGTAACAAAATTAATTATAATAAGCATTTAATACCACATGTGGAATTATATTCAGTATTTCTTTCCAAAACTGTGCTTGAAGTGAGGAACAGCTCCCCTACAACAACTTAACAACACATTCCTGATACATCACCACCTACTGGTGACCAATCAGCCAACTGTTGGCCAATAGCTAGCCAATACCTCCCTGCTAATAATCAGCTGACAAACTGCCATTAGTCAATAAGCTAACAAGCGATGAACAGACACCTACATGGATGACAGGTGACTTTAACCCTCTAACCCTTAATAGATATTTTCATCCTATATCTTCTTACAATACCCTTACTACCCTTGAGTCACACAATAAAGTCATAAATGAAAATAGAGGAATTGATCCCTAACTACAGATGCTCTTAATTGTTAAACAAATTCTCCTTGTCATCAACATAGGAAATATACAAAGAAAAGTATGGAGAATATGCATCTGACATTAAGATGTAAAGGGTTAAACCACTTTTAAATTTCTTACTCTTTCAAATACTCTTTGAAGTGCAGGTATCTTTCTGGGGGCAATAACTGAAAGATGAACTCCTTTCTGAAAATACGAAAGAAAAAAATGGTAATCATTATTCATGTAAGTAACATAAATGTACATGCAACAGGCAAGACTTGTCTTATGTAAGGAGAGAAGAAAATTATAATTGTCATTGGAAGGGTAAGTGGGAAGGCAGAAGGCCTACAAATGGAGGAAAGATTAGAGATATTTGGGGACAGCAGTGAGAAGTGACAGCAGGGAATACTACCCTTGGTGACAAAGAATAGCTACTGACAGTAGCTGAAAGGAAAGAGAAAATTACTGGAAAAACCACATTCAAACTACATGTATAACAGAGGTTGGTGAGTTAATTAAAAACAGAAAGGTTTAAACACCTTTCTTTAATTATTCAAGCCTTATAATGACTATCCCATGTTAAAGGTAGTGGTCTTTCCCTAAGATGTCTAGACCTTGTGTGGAAAAATCAATTTCTTCTGACCTGGAAGCCCAAGGTGTATCCAAATTTTAGATGATCTACCAACAACCTTATCATTTTTTTCACATTGTAAAACATTTTTTAAGATTTTTGGAAACATTACTTTGAAACTTACAATTATTTAGTGGAAAAAGGAAGGCACACAGAAATTTACATGGAATGAACATACATTTCCATTGGAAAAGTTTCCGAACAGGACCACTCTCACAATTTTTTTATACTCCTGATGCTTTATAGTGGATTGTTCCAAAACAAGTACAAAGCAGGTTTTTTTTACCTTTTGTCCCATCTCTTCAGCAAGTTGTTCCACAGTTTTATCCAAGTAATCATCAGCACATTCACGACTTGGCAGTCCAAAGGGAGGTGAGTTACTCACCACAATGCAGCTTTTTCGTACAATCCCTCTATATGATAAACATTACAACTGCATTTTTAGTAACCACTACACCAAGATATATACTAGAGCAACCTAAATGTACAAATCATTGAGGGTAAAAGGAATTGAATTTTTTCCTTAGGAGCCATTACTAAAAATGTACAATTATTTAAGTTATAAAGCACACAGACATAGACTTTAGTGAAAGTAGTCTGTTCAAGGAGCAGGCTGGTCCCATTTCTCATATCATTCGTGTAATTTCCTCTTGACCTTCCGTATATTCAATAAAACTACAAAATATCAAAGGTTTGATGATAATTTTGGAAGTGTGAAGCAGATGTAGGTTATCTTCACACAACTCTGACCATCTCCTGTAATTACTTCTGCCTCTTCATCTAGTCACCTAAAGTCAGGCTGGAAATTGACTGCACAGTACCCAAACCAAGTAGGTGGTATGTTATGCAAAGCTTTGTCTAAAAATGAAAGCACCAGTCATGAGAATACTCACTTATGTTGACCTCTCTGGAGTGTCCTTTCGTCAAAGATCTGTTGAAAAACAAAGTGGTAATTAAAACTTAAGTTTCTGTTGGTGCCTGTATTTTTAGTTGATGGTACAAGTTTAATGTGTCACCTTAAAAGTACTACTTTAATGCAATTTGAGTCTCTTCAATCTAATGCAACTTTCCAACTTAAACAAGTCATTTGTTCAAGAAGAAAAATGTTGTTTACTGTTAATGAAAATTTATTTTTGCTGTGGAGATATTCAACATCTCAAAATAGGTAAGTTGGCAAAGTGATAATGTCAAATTTCAGTCAAATATATAGAAAACCTGATTTACATAAAAAATGCTTGGTTCTCTGCCATAGGACTCTACTGGATGTGTTCCACAATTTGAGCTAGACAATTTTGATGCCACAGAAACCAACCTGTTCAAGACTTCTCTAGGACAGTAGGATTTTCTAACCTTCTTTGGCAGTCTGTTTGGTATTTGCAAATGATACCTCTACTTAATGATTTCAAAGGCCAATTATGGTGTTTGATCAACTTCTGGACCTTTTTTATTTTAGCACATACAAACTCAGAAAAGTAATAAAAATTAATTAGTAAGAAGAGCCTGGAGAAGTGTGAGTTACCATGGGAACATCAAGCTATCACAGGCAAGTGCGCTTTGTTCAGAACTACTGATTAACCAAGTTTCAATAGTCTTTGTGGTATATTGACAGAGATAACTGTTCAGTTATTTCTACTCATAATAACAAGAACTGAGAACTGAGTTGATGATGTGATTAGCCACCATAAAGAGTTCCTAGAGCTGACCCTGGGTTGTTCAAAGCTACATAACCCAGGGCTAGTGTAAAATTTGATTTTAGTTCTGAAAGCTTTAAGAGAAAGTTCAGTTCAAATCTTTTTGCCTGCAATTTCATCATTGGATTTCCTAAAAGTAATAGAGGGAAGATTTTTCCTTAAAAAGGATTTTTGAACAAAGAAATAAAGAAATCTGGATTAAAATTTAACCCCAGGTTAGTGCTAATTGGCCTTTGAACAACTGGGTCCTGATGTTTGAAGCATGTTTCATCCACAGAACTCTAACACACCAGAAACTTACCCCACTTTGCATATACAACTTATTTAAAAATTGAAATGACCATTTTTAATCTTTCATGAAGTCTCAAAGATACCCTATAATTTCATGGGATAAAAATTTGATCCAAGCAGTAATACTTTTAAAGTAAGAAAAAGTTAAAATTTATTAAATTCAACCAAAGAAACACCCAAGAAAACAACATTGACCTTATTCTACTTTTGCTTGTTTGCTAACAGTATGTGTCACCTTTTGTTTAGGAGGATATATTACAGATAATTTAAGTTAATAATTACAACAACCAAAGTTAATTTTGAACTATAGGACATAAACCAGGTAAGGTCAATAGTTGACATACCTGTAAAGCAATGCTCAAAGCCTCAGCCAGCAAACTGCATTCTTCACCACCTCCACCTTCAAATCTTAAGAATAATAGATCAGAGCATTAAAAAAAAAACCTTTAACAATTGGCAGTAAGCTAATTCATGTAATAAAAATTAAGGTCTTCAAACAATACTTATTTGCACCTTATATTGATTTAAACAATATAATTGATGTATATTAAACAAGTGAATAGTACTTATTGCACATGCTGATTAATTATATTGGAAGTGAGCAGCTAGTACCACTCACTGTCAATCAGCTGAAGAGACAAAATTGTGTGTCAGGAGTTTTATTTCCAGCCATTTAATAATACAGAGAAATACAATATATTTTTTAGAATGTATGCCGAATTCTTCCACCTAGATGGTTGTGAAAGCGGTGAATATTTACCTCCACTTCAGTGGGTACTTATGAATAACTAACATTTCATTTCAGGTAGAGAGAAGACATTACAGTTTTTACTCATGACAATAACTTAAGATCCAGAAAATGAAAAGCTGCACAACAATTAAATCATTTGCTCTTTGAAAACACAGAAAATTAGGAAAACTAATCACAGCTTTAGCTAAAATCTCATCATCATTTCAAATGCTTTCTTTTGTTTTTTTTGTTTTTTTCTCAGAGAAAAACTCTTTTGGGAAAATAAGGATCAAAACAATCAAATTTTGAAGATTGTAGAAACTACTGTCTTAACAACAGCCTTTTTTTAAACATGGTATTAGATCTTACATTCCAGATAGCACTCAATTAAGTCCCAATGATCAGCTGTGTATTCTTATAGGTAAGCAAATTAAACAGATTTAAGATGTCTGCCAAAGTAAATTTCTAGATAAAGTATTCAAACACATAACCTCATCATTTCTCTATGCACATGAATGAGTTGGAAAACTGACCTCACATCATCTAGGTATTGCAGTATCTGTTTGGCACTGCGAGTTTCCTTGACATAGTGCACTGCTGGCTCAGGGGTATGGCCTATTGTCCCATACACCACCAAACCATATTGGTTTGGGCCATACTGAAAACAATGAAAATGGATAACATGTAATCCATCAATATTGAAAAGGCAAATTCTAAAAGACTGATTGCACAACTTTTCAAAAGTTTCACAGTTTCTCTAGCATAAAGCAAATATGGATATGAGATTCAAGTCCATAATAGGTCACCCCATAGCAGTTTATCAAGTTCCTTGATAATTTTAGGGTATTACTAAATACTAATGGATAGAGAGGATATTATGGTGCAATGCTTTACACGAGAATAGAGAAAATTGACCAGACCGAGGTTTTAATCTTGACCGTTGGTTACAGTTGAGTGCACTCACTTTTAACAATTTGGCCAAACAGTCTGCTATAATCAGTAATCTGTACTTAATCTCAAGCACAATAATTTTGAATGATCCAGTCCTACAGCATCATGCACAATTTTACCTCATGGCCCAAGTCATTTATCAGGTATCCATGTAACATGTTACATACCTCATCTCCAAAGCTGTATTCAAAGTCCATTGGAACTTCTCCATTGAAATAACTATGAATATGATATCATTGTTATTAACTGTTCATAACTTTCATTAATAAGGAAATATGTATCTATAGAATGAGATCTGAACTCTACAATATATACATAAGTATTATTGTAGGCTTTGAATTAGCATGTTAATTAATAATTAACATGTTATATTAATTCACTTAATGCCCAAATTTCACTGACAGGATGAAGGAATTAGAGGCAAAATTATGTAATTATCAGCTTTAAAGAAGGAAAAATTTCTGTGCAACCCCATACAACATTATGCATTCAGTTCATGGATAGAGAAAACAATGACAAAAACAATACATTGCTATTGGAAAAACAGATTTCTTTTACAATAGTATGGGGCTGTGCAGAAATTTTACCTTAAAGTGTGTTGTGATAGACTACTGGGGAGCTTAGCTGTGGTTTCGCTGAAACGATCTATAGAAATCATTACAGTTATAGTTACTAGAGGATCTTTCAAAATGCACTATCAAATGTTGGCAGTTCTCAAGTCTCTTTTTTCAGAGGGTTGCTAGGTTTCAAACTTTAGCTTAAAAATCTACACAGAAACATCCTTAGTTTGATGCTCAAATATAAAATGTAATTTTCAGCACAAGCTTTTTTACTGTTCAGTTTTGATATTTTTGAGACCAAATAGAAAAAGAGCAAATCATTGTGCGTTACTGTTGTGTACATTCTGGGTCCAAATATATTGTTTTTAACTATCACGAGGGTCTTGAACGATAAAATAGTAAGACTACACATTATCAAATGACGGCTATAGTACGGCACACACAATCAAGATGAATAAATGATCGCCTAACTCGACAAAAGACTTAAAACTCGTCTATTTCTAAAATCATTCGCTGGATTTATAATGACAACAAATTAAAAAAAGCTTTGGTGTAACAACGAAATAGAATTTAAGAAAATAAACTCTCCTCTTTTCAATAAATTTGTGACGTATGTACAGTTGTCGATAGTTGTTCATTTTAACCATTCATTTTCCATACGTAAGTAAAACTGGAGTGCTTGTTGTACCAAGCTGAGTTTGTTCGATTACAGAAGGAGAACGCACAGTCTCATATTTATTATGCATACGGTTCTTGTTTCTCGCTCCAAGAAGAAATGGTTGCCCGTTAGTCACTTTATACTTACTGTATTGCGGGTTCAATGTAGGATTTCTTCAGGTTTTCAAAGTCAAGAAGTAAATTCGCAGTCCCCTCCACAACAAATATAACATCGTTTTCGTATAAATCACCGGTAACCACCATTATTGTCAAGTTACTTTCAAAAAATGAACGGGAAGTTGATCATCCTTCCTCTATATCCTGCATCCTGTTTTTGGGAAACTCCCAAGCATGAGTAAAAGGATAATTTTAACCGAAGAATGACAAAAATACGCGAAGAAGTGATAGCGGAAGACATAGAAGCTACTTTATCCTACGCTCTTCCTCGCTCCCCCACTCCGCGCTCTAACCGTTCATTCCTGCATTGAGTGAAGTACTGGGCACCAGATAGGTCTTCAGTACCCTCATGCAGAGGAAAGGTGTGGAGGCTCAAATGAGAACTCTTTCGTCCTTTTCTTGAGACAGACTTTCTTACTTACTCGAAAATTTTTTCAGGACTTCCGATTCGAACGTTTCAAAACTGTCATAGCACGAAAGCCCAAGACTCAGGACGTTTAGCCGGTTGGTTGTGCTTGATTGGGTATTTCTGCTCTCTTCATTCTCCTTCAAATTCTGATTAGGACGTTTCGTCTCTTTCTCCTGACCTGCCCGCCATTTCTTTTGTTGTTTTTTTTCGCGACTTTCCCGTCAATCAATTTGATATTAAGTTACTGCATTCAATTCAACTTTCTGCACTCAGTCTTAACTTTCTGCACTATTAAGTAATTATTGTACGAGGTTGAGCGTGGTATCATGAATTATCAATGCCGAGGTCTAAGTTATAGATCTGCTGAAGCCGAATTCGAAGGCTGAGTCAGACAACACAGACATGAAGTTTGATTATGCATGATATCATCTGACGAATTTCATAACTGACATTTTTAAACACCTGCAAAAGGAGATACCTCCCTGAGTCTGCAAAAGTTAGAGAACACCACGGACGAGGGTCTTGGAAACTAAACAGACTTTGAACTCGACATGATAACCTAATATCAGCTGTTGGTATGAGTTATCATCTCAACTTCACATGCTACTATATATTGATTGTATGCTCTCGACCAATGAATTTTTTCATAGTAAGTCTAATGTATAATAATTGGGTTTAATGGACATGTTCTCAATCAGTGAACAGGCTGAATTTTTTGCATATATATCAGTACAAAAGAAAATATGAGAAAAGGCTGTTCACACAACATATCATTAGTTAAGAAAAGTTAAAATAATAAAGTAAATAAAGTATATTAAGTTTATGGCTATTTCTTGAACTCTCAGAGTGCTTCTTGTCACCAGGGACTATAGATGAGCGCCGGCAAACTATTAAGAAGACTTGAAAAGGAGCTGGGAGTTACTCGGTATGGAGTAATATGGTAGCTTTCCTGTCCAGGAGGAGTAACTACACTCCATGCAGTGGCTTCATGTGACGGACACCAGGATCAGATCTGGCAGCAAAGAGCCATCAGGTTCGCAAGACTTAACAACTTGTTCTGTAATAAACAGTGTGCGTTTTAATCCGAAACACGATTAGAGTCATCAGTTTGTGTACTGATCCAGGGAAGATTCAAGATGTACCACGACGTTTAGTGATAAATTTGGAAGATATAATACTCTTAAGTTTTATCATGAATTTAATTTGTGGACATAGAGGACCGTTGCGTACACAAGACAGAGCAACAAAAATGACTCAGAATCGTGTGCGATTACTGACCTATGCTCAAACTCGGAGAAATATGGTTAAAATGATGATGATGATGATTATGATGATGACGATGATGGCATCGAATTTGACTTGAGGAAGGCACGTCATTTGAAGTCGTGTCCTCAGAGATCAGCCTTTTGTACTGAAGCTCCCAACACTCCAAGTCTCACTCTCCCCAACTCCCCTGTCTGCCAGTGGTCCCGGGCACAAAGTGACGAACAAGCTTCTCTTGGTAAATATTTAATTTAATAAAGTATTGAATAGCTAATTGTTTGCATATATCGATGATGTTGTTATTGTAGACATCGCAACAGTTCGGCATATAATTAAGTTTATTCACTCGTGCTCTGGTATTCATGGTAGTGGTAGGTTCATGGTAGCTGTTAGCCGTAAACCATTCATTAGTATTCCACCAAGCGGATCATACACGAGGAGAGAATGATCCCAGTTAACTGCAATGAGAAAGAAAACAAGAAAACAAAACGAAACAAAACAGGTAAGCCAGTGAGAGGTACGATGATGCCTAATTCTAGCACGTTACACTTGGATTTTCTAGTTTCAACCCCGAGCCACGTAATTCGTGCCCCCTCCCTCCACCTTCTGAGAGTAGAAGTACACAGGAGCCCCGCTATAGGTAAAGCACTCGGCCTTTATCAGTTTCCTCATGTTTAGAAACCGTGATGAAATACTCGCCCTCGTTTATGAAAAAATTTCCTCGTTGTCAAGTTATACCAGAATAGGTAAAGTTATTTACAAGTGAATGCTTTCCTGATTACCTGGACAGCGCTTAGAACCAATGCTATGAATCCCAGAATAAACACATGCTCCCGAAAAAACTCGCTTAACTTTAAAATGCAACCCTGTAAGCGAAAGAAACGACAAATCTTGTTAGTTATAACAGAGAGGATATACCTATAGTATACGTGGATTCAGCTTTTGCAAGCGAAGAGAACCAAAATTTTTTTTTGACAGTCGAACAGAGATACCCAAGAACCAATTGGAAAATCAGAGTGTGAAACCAGAAAACGATAGTACAGCAACAAAAATTTGTATTTCTAATTATTTTCAAGCGACTGCGAAATTACTTTATATCATTATCCTTTCTATTGAACTACTATTGTGATGTTCTGTTTCTATTCAGTTAAGTTTGCGTTTTATGGATGAGGTTATGTAAGAATAACGTAACTCCAATGGCGATTTGTTTCTTGTCAGTATGCTCGTTGTTTTCGTTACATAATTCTCATTACCAGTTGATTTCAACATAGTCTTTCGATAGTTTTTGCCAGCGCCGTGTTGCTTTTGTTTAAGAGCTTTACTATCGGACCTGGTTACGCCACAAATTGTAAGTTCGTTTCTATTTCATGTAGCTTTGTCGTTTTTCTTGTTTTCGTTACATTTGTACTTAGATATTTGCATTAATTATTTATTTTCAGTCAAATCACATCTACAAATCTTTACATCTAAATATTCGTCTACACGGCGAATATGTGCATTCATTTTGTGGCGTTGAAGGTGTAGTATTTATCTACAGGCAATAAACTTCCATAAAATTTGATTAGTAGGCTAAAACTTATCGGCTGGCAAGACAATACCAGTGATGGTATAGTACCTCATGGTATATATTAGAGGGGTGGTCCCTCTTTCCACAGGCAGGTGTAATTGTCTTGCAACACGAATCTGGCACTGACAAATTCTGGTTTTCAGTCATTTGTTTCCAAGCTGTGTTGTTCCACGTCGAATAGCTGCTACTACCACAACACATATGCTGAAGAAAGGATACTAAAAAATCATCGGCTAACGGCAGACACAAAAAGTTAATATCACTTGGGTAACGCCACTGTTAACCTGAACCAAAGATGTAGAAAAAGTTCATAGAAAATGGAAAGTCGTAATTTTGAAGCTCGTTGGTCGAAAAATGACACTATTCCCTGGATTTTGACTGAAATTTAAGTTCACCACTGTATAACCGTTCTTCTTTTTCACAGTGCGATGAGCTTTTGACTTCTCTGATCCTCAGCGGCAAACCTGGCCCGTGTCAGTCATGCTAAGGACTATCTCACACGGTGTCCAATGTAACTCGGGATTACATGCAAACTACGTTTTACAATCGGTCTTGAAAACTCATGCCATCTTATTGACCAATCAGAAGCAAAACTGAAACTGTCGTGATCTGTCCACTCTCTCTTTGCGCGCTTGAGGCAGCTATATTTATTGATTTGCCTTAGGTTCTCATCGGCTCCTTATGAAATCTTTGTCCGGTATCATTTTTTTTTTCCAAGAGGCGACAAATGAATTTAACTATGTCTTTTCCCTCGACCTGTGCTGATAACTAAAATATTGATCTTCCTTACCCTTTGTTGAAGATCGTCAAAGGAACTCCTTACAGCATCTGAGGTTCCATACTCATTCATTCGATCAAGCGCGGATTTATCTAAATTCTCTTCAATCTGGCAAAAACAGAAAACAACACAAATATTAAAAAATTATAAGAATATAAATTCAGATTTCTTTCTTGTCAAAACCTATTTAAAAAGTGGCCGATTAGCAGTGGTTTTCCAATGACTGTAAGTAACAATATTTTTTCGCTGAATCCGCATGTAACTGTGATACCGTGTTGCCTTCGTCAATAATAGCATGCCAGCTTACATTGTCAGATAAAGCAGCCTGGAGATTTTGGGCCGTAAAATTTGCCTGCAAATTTGTTTGATTCCAACGAAATAAGTCGAGACCCTTAGATCGAAAAAGAGAGAGAGATGGACATAAACTGTCATTAGAGGTCAAAATACTGAACAGTTATAATCATTGAAATTGCGGATAAGCACAACTGTACTTACATAAGATCGGTGTACGAATGCTGCAACTCCGATTGAACATTCGATTATAAAGATCAACGTCAACAAGATCAGAAACTGTAAAAGAGATTAAAACTTTACAACTGGGAATAGCAATAGCTAATGCAGGCGAACCAAGTATAGAGTAATATTGGTACTCAAATTCAGTGTATGGAGACCTAAGGACAGTCAATATTAGGTGTAATAGTGTAGTTTGATCGTCCGGGTGAGTGAAGTTCCGAGAAGGACTTTTGTCCGTAGTGGTGACTGACGTTTCGACAACCTGAGCGGAAGTCATCATCAAAGTGATGAGGACCTCTGATGATGACTTTTGGTGATGACTTCCGTTCAGGTTGTCGAAACGTCAATCACCCTTCTCAGGACTACAATCACCCGGACGATCAAAATACACTATTTCATCTTACTCCCGGGTTTAACCATTTACTGTAGTCAATATCAGGGAATTTAAGAAAACCAAGACGGAAACAGCCACGGAAACTTCACTAAACAAAAGGTTCAATAAGCAGAACAATAACTGTGCACGTGCATCATAAATCTTCGCAAATTTTTTTGCGTCCTCTGCAAAAAAAAAAAAAAAGCGTGAAATGACCAAACTTTGCGTTGTCTAGAGAATGTGAACGACGACGGCTTTTTTCAAAATTTCTCTTTCTAACGTAACGTTGTACGTGTTCCATATTCAGTTTCGAGTTAGTTTTGACATTGAGAAACAAACTAA